GGTCCTGCAACAGCGGTCAGGCTGGACCTCTGCTGTCTAGCTCAGGGAAGTGGGCAGACACTCCTACCAGTTACCAAGTCCCATCTTGGTGATATGACACTAAATCTGCACTGATTACACTACCATAATTTTTTTATTGTTATTTGTTGTCCAGTTATTGAAATCTTGCCTCCTAAATCCCCAGATCACACTCTGCTAAAGCTGAAGAAAACTTTACTATCCTTGTTCTTATATCCAAATATGCAGCCTGGGGTTATAGAATGGTTATTTCCATTGAAAGATTTTGAGTCAGGAAAATAGTGATGAAATTCAATCTATAAATGCTGTATTAAGAATGTCAATGATGATGCATTACAAACCATTGCATATCATTGTGGACTGGGAAATTTTGTTAGACACATTTTACTGCTTTGTTATTTTCTTAGTGTGTCCAGCACAGGTTAGGAATAATGTGAAGTAAAGCAAGGCATTATTATGTAATTTGATCAAAAGTCTCTATAAGAAGCTGCAGTGAGAACTGAGAACGGCAACACTGACTGGTTTCCAGTAACATAAGGCGTTAGGCAGGGATGCATCATGTCACCTTACCTGTTCAACCTACTGTAGATGGTGAAGCCATCTTCAGAAATACAAATTTGGATTCTGTCAGTATCAAATTTGGTGGCCGAAGCATAAACAACCTGCGCTATGCAGACAACACAACGGTCATCATTAGCAGCAAAGAAGATATGGTGTAATTATTGAGAAAAGGGAAAAGCGAAAGTCGAAAGAAGCAACTAGTAGTGACGAAATACTCTGCATAATAGCACTTGGCAGCCACACAATGAAGGCTCTTGACAAAGTATTCAAAGGTAAAGAAATTACACTCAAAATGAAAATTATACTCATCCATGCACTCATCTCAATTACAGCTGTGAAAGCTGGACACAATGAAAATGGGACAGAAAGAAGATCAACTCATTTAAACTTCGGTGCTGGAGAAGGATTTTATGCGTGCAATGGGACAGCCTATAAAATTAATATTTCAATTCTGAAAGAGATCAAAGCAGCTATTTCACTAGAAGCCCAACTGATGATGTTATGACTGTCCTATTTTGGTCACACTGGTACAAAAGAGAGATCACTGAAGAGGGAAATAATGTTTGGGAAGATCGAAGGAACCAGAAGAAAAGGGAGACCAGCTACTAAATGGTTGGACACATTGACTACAGTTGTGGGGATGACACTGGAGGATCTCACCAGACTAGCACAACACATTAAAAATAAATGTATTTACATAAACATATTAATCTATTTTATATTTGGCAGATAAAGTTGTCGGGTTAGCTATCCCAGCTGTTTTTGCCATTTTGTGTTAAGCAAATGACAGACATTTTGTATTAACACATTCAAAATATCTGTATTTGCCAAAACATATTTATACTAAAGCATGGCAGCATAGTGATCGAAATAGAAGTATATAAACTAATTTTACACAACATCATCATTTATCTAGTTTATGTACATTATGTAAAATATAACTGCAAGTTCTGCATCAAGGCATTACATTGCCAACTGATACGTTTTAAAGAGGGAAGAAAATTCTCACAGTACATACAGTAATTGTAAAATACTTACATGCAGTGAGTGGACTAAAAAGAAATGGAAATGACACATTTAGATTGGAACAAAATTGAAAATATTTATATATTTGTTGTGAATAAATCTTATTTAGTTGGAATTGTTGTTCAGCAAAAGGAAAGTAAGATGCAGTCTGTAATAATGGAGTTCAGGATGTGCAGACCAGGAGTGTTCAGAACATATGTTTGGTCACTGCTGCTTCTCATTAGTGAACTGTTAGGACTAGATATTGATATTTTCAGTATATAAGGTAAGCATTGGACCTATACTTCCATTGATGGGGGAGTTACAACAGAGAATTACAGAGCGGGTTTAAGTTATAGTTAGGTTTAGGACCAGAAATCTGAGAGTTAAGATTAGGGATATGGTTAAGTGTTGATTTATTACAGATATTTATATAGCACCAACAATTTACATTGCTCTCAAGGAACTTGCAATCTAAGGTCCCTATCTTATGTGAATATATTAGCTGCAATTTAGACAGGAGCCAATTAACCTACCAGCATGTCTTTCGAGTGTAGAAGGAAACTGGTGTACCCAGGGGAAACCATTGCAAGCACAGTGAGTACATGCAAGCTCTGTGCAGATGTTATCCTGGCTGGGATTCCTAACCACTAAGCCTTTGTACTGTGTTAGGAATTAAGTGATAAGCAGCCCATAGAATATGACATTTTCTTTCACAGGTGGAAGGAAAGAAAATTGCTTGTTTCCCCCATCAACACAGTCAGTGCTGATGCATCTGCAGCCCTATTGTGTTCTGCTGGCAGGGAGTCTTCTTTGCCAGTAGACTGCAAGCAACACTGCTGGAGGCTGATCAACTTGAGTACAACCAGCCTGTCCAAAGATGGATGGAATCTCAGCTGGTCCCTGCTGAATCTGCTCAGATTCAATCCATCTATGGCTGGCTTTAGAATTAGTTTACCTGTTAAAATGTATTTTAGGACATTTTTAGAGGATAACTTAGGGTAGGTTAGGTTAAGTGTTAGTATTCATTTTCCCTAAAGGTGATTTTACGTGTTACAAATAGGTAGTATGCATGCTTATAATGAAATTCACATTTGTTTCAGTATCAAGATTTCCTAGTCCATATATCCAATGTGGTGCTTCAGCAATTACACCTTGGATGGTGGAAAATTATGCCATCAGGACATTTTTTAAAACAGCATATTAATTGATTACATTTATCAAGGTACCATTTAAAATTGTGTAAAGCTTTCAGTGCTGAAGAAAAGGATCAATTTTTTTTTTAATACACAAATTACATCTTTAGACTGTTTATTGTTCCCTCTCCATTCTATCCAAAACAAAAACCCCCCTAAAGGTATACCTTATGCAATTAAAAGTTGGCTTAAGCCAACGTAAAAAAAATATATGTTAGATCTTTTCTAGGAATTGTAGTACACTTCTAGAGGTTCATGCCTAACTTTGCTACTATAGCTCCACTTACTAATCTTACTAAAGGGAACAAGTCCACTATGGTGAAATGAAATGAAGAGGCAGGGAAAGCTTTTCAGGCACTATAGGCAGTATTATGTAAGGAATCTGTGGTAATATTTCCCAATTTCTGTCCATAATTTCTTGTACAAACAGATGCCTCTAATGTTGGCCTCAGAGCCGTCTTGTCCCAGGAAGCTAATGGGGGAGAACATCCAGTAGCATACCTCAGCCATAAACTAGGAAATGCCGATGAATTGACACACAGTGGCTGACTGTGCAGTGGCCTGCACAGTGATCCACCACTCATGCTTTGCTGCGGCAACCCTAAATTGTTATGATTAGCTATGATATAGAGAATTGTTGATCCAAGCTAACTTACATAAACTTTTAAAAGATTAGAACCCTTGTTAGGTTTTTATTGCTAGTAAATGCTATACTGTATATCAGAAGAACTCCAAATGACTGTCCAAAAAAAATCCTAAAATAATACATATAAACTATAGATATTGCAAAAAGCAAAAAAAAATTAAAGAAGATTTATTTGGCTGGTGACACAAAGTAAGTGCTTAGAACCTCCCGATATATTAAAACCAGGGGAAGCCAAAATACCCTAAATGTTCAAAACAATCACCTACTATGATGTAGATAAAACAAGTAGTAAAGGATGAAGGTATCTTTTCTCTAGTCATATAAGAATATGGAGGCCCGGTGACATCAGAAAAATACAGAATAAACTCCTGAGCTACCTCAATGTGACCATATAATAAATAAAAGTGTATAGAGCTGCTGCTAGCATAAAAAATTGTGTTCCCACAACATAAACATAAATAAATAAAATAAACTTAATGCTGTGCTGCTAATGTGTAATATATTGAAAACAATTGAATATGAAAACATCAAATATATATAAAAAGTGCATAAATCACAAAACTGAAATGTCCATAAAAACAAGTCCATGTGAATATGAATTAGAATGGTGAATCGGGGATATAGCTTTATATCAACTTCCTTCACAACTCCATAGGATTTCTCCTGTCCTCATATAATCAATACCATCTTTTAGAGTGCTGCAAAACATGCAGATTGTGCCACCTCAGTGCTCACAGAACTCTCACCTTAAGACAATTGGAATGCGCTTTAGATAATAAATAAATTAGGGTTCCTCCACTCTCCTGGTCTTCCACCGTTTTAGAACCACTGGGTGCCCTCTTTCCTTTCCCTTGATCTCCGAGCCAGAGAAAAACAAAAACGGTCCCTTTAAGGGTCACTTGGGGTCAAAAATCCTTCACTCATGCAGAGGAAACAGAAAAATCTCCAATAATGCAGTATGTTCTGATAAGTATTAAAAGTAATGCACTTACATATGTATAAAAAATGCGATTGAAAACATATGAAGCCCTCAAACACAGACCACGTACGACACTTCCAGTTCTTGTCTACCCATGGCCATGCCCTACGTTTACGTCACTCCCACGTGACTTCATCAGAGGTAAGGCAGAAGGCAGAGGGGGAGTCCTTATATAGTGTATATAATTCCAATCAGTTGGTGGCCATTTTGTTGAAGTCCTCTATAATAACATTACGACAGCCATTTTCTATTTGTCTCAAAGCATATTAAAATAAAGGCTGCCATTTTATAGTAGCCAACAAACACTGATGGTAAAGCGAAACATAAAACTTAATCATACAGTGTGAGAACCCTAGCGGCCATTAATCTGAAGCACAAGAATGCAATAGTAACCGTTACTAAATATGGGTAATAAAACATCCTAATTAAAAAAAATCATAGTTTGTAGCCATTGAGTGAAAACATACTGGATAATGAATGAAAATGCTTCCACTTACTTTTATTGCTGTCTTCCTTTTCCATACGGCCACTTTCACACCACTGAATATAAGTAGCAGCCAAGGCCCAGCCAAGCTTATCAAGATGGAGAGTGTCTCTACTACGCTGTGGGGGCAGCTTTACACATGTCCAACCACTCCCTGCATCTGAGCAAGGTGAAAATTTCCAAGCCTGCTTCATACTAGGAAGGAACAGCTGTAGCAAATGGAGAATTTACAGAGTTAAAGCTCACAGATTACAAAGGAAAATACATGGTATTTTTCTTTTATCCTTTGGACTTCACATTAATGTGCTAATGGAAATGATTGCTCTTGGAGACAACATAGAAGAATTTAGATTAATAAATTATAAAGTTGTAGCTTGTTCAGTGGACTTTAATATCACGAACTTGGCATTGATAGATACACTCCAAAAGCAAGGAGGACTTGGTCCAATGACAATTCCTCTACTTTCTAACCTAACTCACCAGATCTCAAGGGATTATGGTGCATACCTAGAGGACCAAGATCACACTCTAAGCTGACTCTTCATAATAGGTGTGTATATAGAAAAAATATTTTCTGCGCTTAGTGTATTTAAATTATTAATATGCTGCACACTATTTCTCTGAATACCTCATAAAGATATGCTCTTTTATGCATGTAGGTGCACTTGCTCAGATTCAGTCAACAATACTAAAATATATCTCAGCAAGTGAAGTGCATCAAAACATGAAAACAAAAGAACATAATACCAACATGTGCTTGTGTTATTAAGCCCCTGGGAAGATCTCCCACTTCAGCCAATAATGTTCGTCCAGAGACCGATCCACATACTAAGGACCACTAGCATGCCTCAGACAGGACTCATATTATTCTCTGAGATAATAAAGAGTGGGAGCCCACATAGTGTAAAACTGCCAAAATTATCACTTTATTCAACAACAGACAGGTACTTACAGGGCAGGTACAGAGAAAACATGGATACGCTATGCTTCCGGCAGTCGGCGGGCATGATCTAGTTTAGCCCTGTCCAATGTGTTTTGTTACCATAGAACATTGATGTTCTATGTGGTGTATGTGGATTGGTATCCAGGTGAACATTATTGTGAAAGTAGGCAGTCTTCCCAGGGGCTTAATAACACATGCGCATGTTGATCTTCATAATAGATGACAGAGGAGTCCTCTGACAGATTACCATGCATGATCCTCCTGTTGGGTGATCTGTATTTGAGACCCTTCATCTTGTGCAAGCATTCCAGTACACAGACAAACATGGGGAAGTCTGCCCTACTGGTTGGAAACCTGGCAGTGAAACAATAATTACTCCCCCTACTGAAAAATTGAAGTATTTTGATAAACAACACTGACATTTGTAGTAACAAAAACCTAGATGGATCACTAACTACTAAAACTAGTTAATTACCATTCAATACAATTGTATGAATTTTGAAAACAAAAATAGTAGAGACAGTCATGTTCACACTGAGGAATCTCAACAACTTCATAAACAGAATATAGTATTCAATAAAGCAAATAATAAAAATGTCCATATATAGATTAGATTTGGCAATTGAGAGATATAGAACAGCTGGATTTAACAAGAATCAATTACTAACCAGTAGTAGTGAAGATGTCTGACTGTTTAATACAAAAATTATAAATAATAACACATTTATAGGTATAGTTGATCCAGGGAATATCCGATTGCCCCTTGGGGGATCAGGAAGGAATTTTTTTTCCCTGCAGGAGCAAATTGGATCATGCTTTGCTGGGTTTTTTTTTTTGCCTTCCTCTGGATCAACTGTGGGTATAGGAGTATAACCTTTTTTTTTTTTAATGGTTGAACTGAATGGACTTTTGTCTTTTTTTTAGCCAGACTAACTATGTAATAGAGAGATACCTATGGTACACCTATGGAACATCATAAATAATATAACTCTAAGCATGATCACAAAATTGATTGGCATTCAAAATACAGATGGGAGCAAAATTATCCCTGAAAAATGTATACAGTAGGGTATGACCATGTATTCTTCATGTTATCAAAAAGATTATTTGTAAAAAATGGGACTGTGCTCATAGTCCCAAAAGCGACCATTGGGCATTCAAAGTGCAAGTAGGAGCAGAATCATTGTTGGAGGTATAAACTGCAAAACATAACCAAGGTATGTTGGCCATATTTTCATAATGTATTCAGAGAAACTATTTCAGCTATAAATCAAGATACACATAATATACACAGGGTAGATATATCATGCAGTAACAGAGACTCTAAAGATAAGACCATACAGATGAGGAGTATCCCAGAGAGATGTAGTTTACATGAAAAATAGAGAGTGGTTATAATATATCATAGAATGTGTGAAGCAGAAAGTCACTTTACTCAAAACCCCAAAACATTAGAAAATGTGGGGGGGGGGGGGTCATTGTTGAAAGCAATGAATATGTATTCCAAACCTTGTTGAGCCACCTTTGCTTTTCATCGTATATAATTTGGAAATATCCACCCCCAATTGTCCAAGATAGATTATCATGCAAGAAAAATTAATTGCTTGAATAGATATTGTAACCATCAGATTGCCACTCTTGTTGCTTTAAAGCTACTCCACTTGGATATTGAAAAGTAGATATAGAAGGCACATGAAAGGCATATATTCAACTTAGTGTAGCACCTGCTAGTGTGCTCCTAGAATAGTGTAGTTAATGATAGGTAAAATCATTGTGTGATTAATGTTGGGTTATTGCAGATCAGCTGGACGACTCTACAGTTTGCGGCTCTATCTAGGACCAAAGAACCTTCCAGAGGTTGGTAAGAAGGAGGTATGGAGGCTTAATCTGCATATTCATGGAGGTCCAGCCAATCCCAGGTTTTGAGGCCCTGGTAGAGTAGTGAACTGGCCTATAAATATGGGAGAGTCAAGTTGACAGTGGGTCAAGTGGAAGATTGTGTCCGGAACACAGACACGGCAGCGTGATGTCAGCGTGTAGGGTGGAGCCTACGCGCTGGCATCACACCACCGTGTCCATAAGCGGTGGCCATCTTGGTATGTGACATATGTAATATTTTACTTCTCCACATGGAATGCTTTTATGGAATACTTTTAAAATAAATACTACACTATATATCAATCTTTGGGCTCCGTGTGGTGAGCATCTTTCTTTAGGATTGAACTGGACCAGTAGAACTGCCAGAGAGCGAATGGTATAGACTTCATAACATATATGCTACTTAACAAGTAGCTCTCTGGTGAGTGCATAGTGGTGGTGATTGCACATCGGATTTCAGAGCACTGTATGGGACTGTGCACTATTTACTGTGATTGCTATCATCACACCATCAACATAAAGATTTATATTGGAAGGGATTTTTATGATTTATTTATATCTAATTTATATATATGTTTTTGTCACTGAATTGTTTTTTTATTTACATCATATGTTTTTATGCGTTGCACTTTGTATATACATTTTCTTTATTGAGATTTTTTGTCACTATCTATTGTGCTAGCTGTTCCCATCTCAATAGCGCTTGCCGTTTTGCTTTTGAAAGCGCTACACTAGTGAAGAGGCTTGTCTTCAATACGGGTTATATCTTAAGTCATCTTGCCATCTATCAAATTATAAAAATAAAACCTTCAAAGGGAAAAATTAAACATAGCAGCATAAAGTGAAATAATGTTGCTTCAAATTCCGTATGAGACTAGCAATGTTGTCATCAAGGTGGTAATACTTCACCATCTTGCTGATGCCCAAATATGAATCAAAGGTTTATAGAGATGTGTAGATCAGATGTGTCCAAGGTGTGAGCTAGATAGTCCAGAACCTATGGCCAAGACAAGAACGCCACTTTGTTGCAAAGTGTTTCATTGCTATCATAAAATGACTTTCTCAAACATACTGTATGTGCCGTTATTAGGGAGATTCACCCTCTCTATTTGTCCTGTTTACTATTATCACCAAAATTGAAAAAAATCGCAAATTTTGGTTTGTCACCAGAACAGAAATAGAGGGTAAATCTTCTACAGGGAACACTAGTTCTGGTGATTCTGGTGATAACCAGGGATCTCCTTACTTTGGAAGGATTTCCTCCTACTTCTTGTTGTGGCTATGGGAAGGGAAGGTAAATCTCTCCAATGGGAAACAGATGGCAATAAAATCCTGAAAGGGGTTATAATCTTTTTTTACACTAAAAAATAAAAAAAAGTTTTGCTTATAGTTGCCTATTTTAATTCTTGTCAGTTAGAGGCTTTATGACCCTCTGTTCAATGTTATAGTCCAAATGTTGGGCTTTCAGGCTTATCGCACTTTTTTTGGATTAGCTATTTACACCTAGTGAATGGAATCTAAAACTCCCTGGACCTTCTGTTGGTGTTTTCTCTATAAGGCAACAGTGTGTCAAAAGTATATTCCTATTGCCTGGTGGCTGAGCCAGCTCAGAAAAGGTGGGTGTTGTCTGTTATCAAGCTCTAGCACCCCCTCTTTGAATGCCCTCCTCATGTGCTATTTCTCCCCACAAACTGTGATCTCAAGTGTTTCACAGGCTTGTATCCATGCCATATTATATTTTAAGTTAATATTACTCTCTTGAACATCAAGTGTTGAATGGATGTACATCTGGTAGTGTGTTCAAATAGGTTTTTATTAATATTTCACAGGCACATATGGTAGGACATCTACAATAACAACAAACAATGTAGTAAATATTAGAAGTAATGCTAAATGTTACATCAGTAAGCACAATCACAACAGAAGGCCACATTAATAACTGTGAAGATCTGGTGAGAAAAGTGGAAGGATATAGATGCAGCATGAGACATCATTAACCACTTGCCCTCCGGAAGATTTTACCCCTTCCTGACCAGGCCATTTTTTTATATACTGCACTGTGTTACTTTACCTGACAATTGTGCGATCATGCAACATTGAAACCACATGAAATTTATATCTTTTTTTCACACAATTAGAACTTTCTCTTGGTGGTATTTTATCACCACTGGAGTTTTTATTTTTTGCGCTTTAAACAAAAAAATACTGACAATTTTGAAAACAAAATATTTTTTTACTTTCTGCTATAAATCATATCCAATGAAAAATTAAAAAATAAATTTCTTCCTAAATTTAAGCCAAAATGTATTCTGCTATATATGTTTGGTAAAAAAAAAAATACCAATAAGTGTATATTGATTGGTTTGTGCAAAATGTAACTATGGGATATATACTGAACTTTTTTTTTTATGGTTTTTATACTAGTATGGAGGCAATCAGAGACTTATAGCAGAACTGTAATAGTACATTAGTTAATCTGACAGTAACTGACACTTTGTGGGAACCAGTGACACTAATACAGTGATCAGTGTTGATAATATACACTGACACTGTATAAATAACACTGGTTGGGGAGGGGTTAACATCTAGGGGTGATAAACGGGTTAAGTGTGTGCCTAACAGTGCTTTGTGTGTGTACTTTTAGTAGAGGATGAGCCAGTTTTTATTCCCTGATTCACAGGGAAACAGAAATCGCCACAACCCCGCTGACCTGGCAGAGCTCTCTATTGTTTACATACACAGATCTCTGTCCTGTCAGTCTCTTCGCCGATCATCGGGTCCCAGCCTTCAATCATTGGCCAGGACCTGCTCATTGACTTGTGCTGTGCCTAAGCACAGAACAGCCAAGGCGGCGCACTCCCCCTGACCCAAAGGGTCTAGACCAAGTACTAGGTACCTAATCCAGAGCAGGAGAGCTGCCTTGCCTCCTCACATGTAAATTAAATTCAAGCGCCTATGAAGGTATTTAAAGTATATCAGAATTAAATAAAATTAGGGATAGTGGAATGGAAAGAAGGAAAAAAAGAGGAATAGAAAAGGAATAGAACAGAGGTAAAAAGGAAAGAAAAGAAGAGTAGAAAGAGAGAAACTGAATCTCAGGATCTGAGATTCAAGTCATTTCATGACACTACACCAGCTTAAATCTATCAAAATTCAGCTCGAATTGATCTGGACTATGAAAGATGAAAACCAAATTAGTAGCTATAGGAAAAAGAAAAGTGAAATGCCCCTGGTCAGTAGTTTTCATGCAGTTCAGACAGGAACTCTTGAAGTTTTGGGAAATCTTTGAGTAATATCCAAGCAAGCCAAGTCTGTCATGGGTGTTCCTGTCACCAGCCACCAAACTTTCCATTTCCATGATATTGTTGAGAGTCTCTAGGCACTCAGGAAAAGAGCGAACATTACTAGATTTAAAATAACTGGTGATCAATTGATGAGCTGAAAAGGTAATAAAGGATAGTTTAGAACCTTTAGCTTGAGATAAAGATTGTAGA